GCAACACAGACTTTCAACTCCCTCCAAAGATTTTCTATGGGGTTGAGATCTGGAGACTGGCTAGGCCACTCCAGGACCTTGAAATGCTTCTTACGGAGGACTCCTTCGTTGCCCGGGCGGTGTGTTTGGGATCATTGTCATGCTGAAAGACCCAGCCACGTTTCATCTTCAATGCCCTTGCTGATGGAAGGAGGTTTTCACTCAAAATCTCACGATACATGGCCCCATTCATTCTTTCCTTTACACGGATCAGTCGTCCTGGTCCCTTTGCAGAAAAACAGCCCCAAAGCATGATGTTTCCACCCCCATGCTTCACAGTAGGTATGGTGTTCTTTGGATGCAACTCAACATTCTTTGTCCTCCAAACACGACGAGTTGAGTTTTTACCAAAAAGTTATATTTTGGTTTCAGCTGACCATATGACATTCTCCCAATCCTCTTCTGGATCATCCAAATGCACTCTAGCAAACTTCAGACGGGCCTGGACATGTACTGGCTTAAGCAGGGGGACACGTCTGGCACTGCAGGATTTGAGTCCCTGGCGGCGTAGTGTGTTACTGATGGTAGGCTTTGTTACTTTGGTCCCAGCTCTCTGCAGGTCATTCACTAGGTCCCCCCGTGTTGTTCTGGGATTTTTGCTCACCGTTCTTGTGATCATTTTGACCCCACGGGGTGGGATCTTGCGTGGAGCCCCAGATCGAGGGAGATTATCAGTGGTCTTGTATGTCTTCCATTTCCTAATAATTGCTCCCACAGTTGATTTCTTCAAACCAAGCTGCTTACCTATTGCAGATTCAGTCTTCCCAGCCTGGTGCAGGTCTACAATTTTGTTTCTGGTGTCCTTTGACAGCTCTTTGGTCTTGGCCATAGTGGAGTTTGGAGTGTGACTGTTTGAGGTTGTGGACAGGTGTCTTTTATACTGATAACAAGTTCAAACAGGTGCCATTAATACAGGTAACGAGTGGAGGACAGAGGAGCCTCTTAAAGAAGAAGTTACAGGTCTGTGAGAGCCAGAAATCTTGCTTGTTTGTAGGTGACCAAATACTTATTTTCCACCATAATTTGCAAATCAATTCATTAAAAATCCTACAATGTGATTTTCTGGATATTTTTTTCTCAATTTGTCTGTCATAGTTGACGTGTACCTATGATGAAAATTACAGGCCTCTCTCATCTTTTTAAGTGGGAGAACTTGCACAATTGGTGGCTGACTAAATACTTTTGTATGTACATATACAGTGGGGAGAACAAGTATTTGATACACTGCCGATTTTGCAGGTTTTCCTACTTACAAAGCCTGTAGAGGTCTGTCATTTTTATCATAGGTACACTTCAACTGTGAGAGAGGGAATCTAAAACAAAAATCCAGAAAATCACATTGTATGATTTTTAAGTAATTAATTTGCATTTTATTGCATGACATAAGTATTTGATCACCTACCAACCAGTAAGAATTCCGGGTCTCACAGAACTGTTAGTTTTTCTTTAAGAAGCCCTCCTGTTCTCCACTCATTATCTGTATTAACTGCACCTGTTTGAACTCGTTACCTGTATAAAAGACACCTGTCCACACACTCAATCAAACAGTATCCAACCTCTCCACAATGGCCAAGACCAGAGAGCTGTGTAAGGACATCAGGGAAACTTGTAGACCTGCACAAGGCTGGGATGGGCTACAGGACAATAGGCAAGCAGCTACATTTTACATTTACATTTTAGTCATTTAGCAGACGCTCTTATCCAGAGCGACTTACAGTTAGTGAATATATATATATATATATTTTTTTTATACTGGCCCCCCGTGGGAATCAAACCCACAACCCTGGCGTTGCAAACGCCATGCTCTATCAACTGAGCTACATCCCTGCCGGCCATTCCCTCCCCTACCCTGGACGACGCTGGGCCAATTGTGCGCCGCCCATGAGTCTCCCGGTCGCTAGGTGAGAAGGCAACAACTGTTGGCGCAATTATTAGAAAATGGAAGAAGTTCAAGATGATGGTCAATCACCCTCGGTCTGGGGCTCCATGCAAGATCTCACCTCGTGGGGCATCAATGATCATGAGGAAGGTGAGGGATCAGCCCAGAACTACACGGCAGGACCTGGTCAATGACCTGAAGAGAGCTGGGACCACAGTCTCAAAGAAAACCATTTGTAACACACTACGCCGTCATGGATTAAAATCCTGCAGCGCACGCAAGGTCCCCCTGCTCAAGCCAGCGCATGTCCAGGCCCGTCTGAAGTTTGCCAATGACCATCTGGATGATCCAGAGGAGGAATGGGAGAAGGTCATGTGGTCTGATGAGACAAAAATAGAGCTTTTTGGTCTAAACTCCACTCGCCGTGTTTGGAGGAAGAAGAAGGATGAGTACAACCCCAAGAACACCATCCCAACCATGAAGCATGGAGGTGGAAACATCATTCTTTGAGGATGCTTTTCTGCAAAGGGGACAGGACGACTGCACCGTATTGAGGGGAGGATGGATGGGGCCATGTATCGCGAGATCTTGGCCAACAACCTCCTTCCCTCAGTAAGAGCATTGAAGATGGGTCGTGGCTGGGTCTTCCAGCATGACAACGACCCGAAACAGACAGCCAGGGCAACTAAGGAGTGGCTCCGTAAGAAGAATCTCAAGGTCCTGGAGTGGCCTAGCCAGTCTCCAGACCTGAACCCAATAGAAAATCTTTGGAGGGAGCTGAAAGTCCGTATTGCCCAGCGACAGCCCCGAAACCTGAAGGATCTGGAGAAGGTCTGTATGGAGGAGTGGGCCAAAATCCCTGCTGCAGTGTGTGCAAACCTGGTCAAGACCTACAGGAAACGTATGATCTCTGTAATTGCAAACAAAGGTTTCGGTACCAAATATTAAGTTCTGCTTTTCTGATGTATCAAATACTTATGTCATGCAATAAAATGCAAATTAATTACTTAAAAATCATACAATGTGATTTTCTGGATTTTTGTTTTAGATTCCGTCTCTCACAGTTGAAGTGTACCTATGATAAAAATGACAGACCTCTACATGCTGTGTAAGTAGGAAAACCTGCAAAATCGGCAGTGTATCAAATACTTGTTATCGAAAATATCTAAAATTGATTGTGAAGCTCAACAAAATCACTTATAGATGATTTGAACATGATGCGCAAAAAAATTGAATATCGGTATCATGACTTGAATGGGATTTGTGCCCCAAATACTAAAACGTTACCATTTGGAAACAGTGCCAGGAAACTAAACCAAAGCATGGATTGCTGTCATACCTTGTCCATAGACTGCTTACAGGGTAAGGACCCCAACATGTCAATTTAATTAACCTTGAGTGTTTGTTTGTCAACTGTTACCACCAAGCTACTCATTAGCTTTGGATACAGTAGTAGACCTATCAGTGTTTTGGGACAGAATGATTATTCAGCATGTAGGATGGGACATGTATTGCCAAGCACCTCAACTCCTCCACAGAGTTGAGCGCAGACTAGAGTTTTTTAAATGAACCTCCGACTCACTATGAGTTGATACTTCAAAAATGTAAATTCTTAAACCCTTACCGTGTACATACGTTTGTCCTATGTTGTTGATTGCCTTTCTTTGTTTGCTAAAATACATACTTTTTAATAAAACGTCAATCAAATAGAGAGCAATAGTAATTGCGTCCTTTTGTAGGCACTAACTCCACCATGGTTCATTGGACAAAGCCTATGTGAAAACTAATGGAGTTTCTGGAGGGTTTTTAGATAACCACCAAAAGATCTGTGGTAAACACAGGCTTAGGACATCTTATACGTTTTGTTCTATGAGATAATCTTCATCAGCTAACTTTTTGTGAATTTTGAAGACTTTATGTAATCCAAAAAAGCATATATAGGCTTCATAATTCATAAATGCACTATGCAGAAATCGCTCAGCCATTTCCTGGTTGCAAAAATTGTAATAGTTAGCCTAATTTCAGTTTATGTGACAAAACAAGCAAGTATAGTGTAGAGAATCATTGTACCATCTAAACCGCTGTAAAATATATTTTCCATAACTAAAAATATTGTATTTTCAACTGTTTGAAGCTGGTGGACAAAACCGAAAGTAAAAGACGCAAAAATGAAATTTAAGCACGGGAAGCATAGAAATAGCACACATAGAACAGATATACCGCTTCTTAAACTTGCTTAAATGAGAATGACAGATTTATAACTCACATTTCTATGTGAATATGTGGCAGCTTTAACTGACTGATATTATCTCATAGAACAAAATGAATAAGATCTCCCTAAACCTGTGTTAACCTCAGACCTTATTTTCAGCGTTTCTCCCAAAACCCTATTCTTTCCCTATAAGAATGGCTGAATGAACCACAGGTAACTCGTTTCCGGATTTTAGGACTATACGCTGTCTAACTAACTCAAAAACCGACTGTTTCCTTTTTGAGATTCAATTGGCACATGCGCATTCACACTGAGTTGCCATCAGAGTAACAGCAATAAGGAAATAGTCTGTGGTTGTATTTGATTTCCGTTTTATTAAAATGTATGGATTTCAGCAAACAAAGAAAGGCACGCAACAACTGAGGACAAACATAGGTACAAGGTAAGTGTTTAAGAATGTCCTTAAAAAAAAAAGTTTCTACGCATAGCGACTCGGAGGTTCAATTAAAAAACTCAAGTCTACGCTCATTGCCTTGGAGGAGTTGAGCTACTTGGCAAGGACATGTGAACGTTCTTATTATGCCTCAGTGCATGTGACTATGGTTACAGAAGAAGGTGGCAACAGTGGTAGACGCCACGTGATTCCATGTAAACAAGGGAACTTGTTGAGATGTGTCACTATCTTGTTTGGTGGAATGTTTCATGAATAGACTGGAATTCGCTTTCCATTCCATTGAAAGGTTACACGGGAAAACGGGGTGTAACCGGAAGAAAAAAGGAGTCGCTGTCAGTTCTGAAAATAATCATTAAGTAATGCCTCACGAACAGTCTAAATAGGTTGTGTTGTCTTTACACGGGGTGGGACTGGTGATGGATCACGTGAAGCACACAGGCGCATGCCATTGTGGGGCTGTCCGATTCGAAGTCTGGAATTCCCCAGAACTTATCGTTTTCGATTGCGAGTATGCCGGTTCTTTACCATTCCAATAATACCTGACAGCGTATCGTTAATTTTAAAAAATGGAGAGCATCTGATCTTTTCACATTGAACAGAATGGTTTAACAAACACTGGACATCAAGGCATCCTTTTTAATAGTGATGGAATAGAGAAACAGGTCTGACTGAGAATGAGAAAAAACGGCCCTAATCACAAATGGGGAACTGTCATGACTCATGTCTCAATGTTATAATGCAATAACTGGACATAACATAATTACTGCAATTCATGAAAGAAATGTAGTATGACAAAATGACTCACCCATGTTTCTTTACCTAGCTGTAGAATTTGCACCAAGAAGCAGAACTATCATTATATTGTGCCAAAGAATCAGTTTACCCTTTTAAAGGTTGGATAACGTTCATATGTATAGAGGTGTCACTCAAAATGTATTCATATATGGTTCAGGTTCATTGGTAGTGAATCCTGCAATTAACGTTTAAAAACGGATTTTGATTATCTTGTTTTACAGGGTATGGATAATCTGACCACATATACATTCAATACACACGCTGCCATGCACACCTTCTTTAGGACCTGTGGAGTCCAAAGTTTCTACACCCCACGCTCCAATCCTGATGGAGATGGTAAGGACGACCAGTAACAAACACAGTAACAGTCATGTTTACCTTTTTATGTAAACCTGAAACACGCCCTGTATTGTTGTTTGTGGTAAAACAGGGAGGATAGCAACATGTTGGTGTGTCTCACATGCATGAAACTGAACCGACGGGTTTGGGTGTGTGTTTGTTCCCACCCCAGACATAGCTCCACACTGTTCGGACCCAGGTACAGTACGCAGTGTGACAGTAGAGAAGTTCTGTAGGCAGAAGTAGGAGGAGACCATGTAGAACTACCCGAATATCAGAGACTTGTCTAAGCCTGTAGCAGACACACACAGCTGAGATAAAACACAGTCCCTTATTGTGTTATAACTGAGACAACTTTTTCTAAATCAAATTAACTTTATTGGTTCATGAACAATTTGAACATTTGTTCTAACTATTGTATATCATTTCCAAAAATAAAAAGACCAAACCTACCCTGTTTGGTTACAGTCAATGTATGCAAATGTTTCTTATATTTGGCAAATTCACTATTCATTTATGTCAACATTTGTACGGTAAACTGAGAATAGTAGTGTATTAGGAATCATAAGTAAACTGTTCTTGACTAGGAAAATAGACTTTAATAACGTATTTCCTTCAACAATAGTTCATTCTGGATATATCAGTGCTATATGATCAATAATCGGAATATGTCAGATACATAAAAATCAGAGCAAACAGATGTAACTACATACTGTAAGATTAACAAACCCAAGTAATAATGTTCTCAGAAGACTAATAGATCTTCAGATTATTTGGTCCTTGATCAATAACTTGGAATGTGTTGACAATCATATAGCGTCAAAACCAAATCTAGAGGTAACGAAACCACAGGAGCTGAGTACGGTGACAGAGCATGGCCCTCTGGTGAATAGAAAGGAGGGGGGTCTATTAGACTAGAGAAATATCTATCAGAGTTAGAGAAAATTGTCAGACACCCCTTGCTGGACATCAGTTGTTACAGACATACAGATTGATTATAACTGCTGGAGAGATTCATGCTTTTACCCTGCATCAATATTCATAGTCAAAGACTTTACATGCACTCTTAGTGCCAGGGTCAGTACCAGTCAACTCAGGTGTTGAGACCTCATTTCACTTTTATAGAGAAAGAGAGAACAAGGACTTTTACTTTGTGTACTCCGAGCTTAGGCATAGTCTTTTACACTTGCGGATGTAAAACCCAATGCTGTTTTTATACATGCCTCACTCTAACTAAACATTGGGTAGGCTATTGCATGTATCATTGACATTTGTCCCCTAATAATAAGAGTAGGGATGTTTGTAGAACTGACGTAACATTTGTCTATTTCGAGGTCTAATGTAGGCTTATGATGACTCACCTTAACTTTGCCGTATCCCTTTGAGCCTATGATGCAGCAGAGATCTGATGGGAGGAGCCAGCTGATAGGGAACTCCAGGAAGGAGAGGTACTTCCTGAGGACACCGATGGTTGACAGAGAGAGGAGACTGCAGTCTGTGGCAGAAAGGAGAAACCTAGTTAGTGTACCACTTAAGGCCAGGCACCACAGGCTGAACTATCTTTTTTGCATCTACACCTATCAATCTTGAGATTTGTTGGCATTTTGGTCCAGTAATCTTAGTATTTTCAAAAGGTTTACATAAAAATTGTCAAAAATGTGAAATGTTTTATTTTGTTTATCATACTACCATCATTAACATTTTAATGAATTTTAACCACTTTAAAATGGACATCAATAATTTCAAAGCTCACTACATTAAATTACACAATTTAAAAGACCATTTCAAACTGGACTATATTTAGTAACTTTCTTTGAAGAGATGTGATTCGGTCTAAATATGTGTTTGTTGTTTGTAGTATAAATTAGTGTACTTCTCTTTAACTGCAATTTCCCTTTACATTTACATTTTAGTCATTCATTCAAGGGTTTTTCTTTATTTGTACTATTTTTTTTACATTGTAGAATAACAGTGAAGACATCAAAACTATGAAATAACACATATGGAATCATGTAGTAAACAAAAAAGTGTTAAACAAATCAAAATATATTTATTGAAATAGCCACCCTTTGCCTTGATGACAGCTTTGCACACTCTTGGCATTCTCTAAACCAGCTTCACCTGGAATGCTTTTCCAACAGTCTTGAAGGAGTTCCCACATATGCTGAGCACTTGTTGGCTGCTTTTCCTTCACTCTTCAGTCCGACTCATATCAAACCATCTCAATTGGGTTGAGGTCAGGGGATTGTGGAGGCAAGGTCATCTGATGCAGCACTCCATCACTCTCCTTCTTGATAAAATAGCCCTTACCAAGCCTGGAGGTGTTGGGTCATTGTCCTGTTGAAAAACAAATGATAGTCCCACTAAACCCAAACCTGATGGGATGGCGTATCGCTGTAGAATGCTGTGGTAGCCATGCTGGTTAAGTTTGCCTTGAATTCTAAATAAATCACAGACAGTATCACCAGCAAAGCACCCCTACACCATAACACTTCCTCCTCCATGCTTTACGGTGGGAAATACACGCGGAGATCATCCGTTCACCCACACTGCGTCTCACAAAGACACAGCGGTTGGAACCAAAAATCTCAAATTTGGACTCCAGACCAAAGGACACATTTCCACCGGTCTAATGTCCATTGCTCGTGTTTCTTGTCCCAAGTAGGTCTCTTCTTCTTATTGGTGTCCTTTAGTAGTGGTTTCTTTGCAGCAATTCGACCATGAAGGCCTGATTCACACAGTCCCCTCTCAACAGTTGATGTTGAGATGTGTCTGTTACTTGAACTCTGTGAAGCATTTATTTGGGCTGCAATTTCTGAGGCTGGTAACTCTAATGAACTTATCCTCTGCAGCAGAGGTAACTCTGGGTCTTCCATTCCCGTGGTGGTCCTCTTGAGAGCCAGTTTCATCATAGCGCTTGATGGATTTTGCGTCTGCACTTGAAGAAACTTTCAAAGTTCTTGACATTTTTCGTATTGACTGACCTTCATGTCTTAAAGTAATGACGGACTGTCATTTCCTTTAGCTTATTTGAGCTGTTCTTGCCATAATAGGGACTTTTACCAAACAGGGCTATCTTCTGTATACCACCCCTACCTTGTCACAACACAACTGATTGGCTCAAACGCATTAAGAAGGAAAGAAATTCCACAAATTAACTTTTAAGAAGGCACACCTGTTAATTGAAATGACTACCTCATGAAGCTGGTTGAGAGAATTCCAAGAGTGTGCAAAGCTGTCATCAAGGCAAAGGGTGGCTATTTGAAGAATCTCAAATATAAAATATATTTTGATTTATTTAACACATTTTTGGTTAGTACATGATTCCAATGTAGAAAATAGTAACAATAAAGAAAAACCCTGGAATGAGTAGGTGTGTCCAAACTTTTGACTGGTACTGTATTCTCCAGACTTGCCCAGAGGGAATTGTTAATTTAAATAAAATGTTATTTTCAAAAATGCGCCAAAAACGCATTGAAAGTATCTTAAAGATAGAAAGATGAAAAAAAGTATTAATCCACAATCTGCTCTGGACAAGTTCGGTCCTAGAGTGTCTTAACAAAATGACTTCATCCAGTGTCCAGAAAAATTGATTTGTGCGATATGTAAATATACACATATTTACAGTGCATTCGGAAAGTATTCAGACCCCTTCACTTTTTCCACATTTTGTTACGTTACAGCCTTACTCTAAAATGGATTAAAATGTTTTTTTCCCCTCATCAATCTACACACAATATCCCATAATGACAAAGCAAAAACTGGTTTATAGAATAAAAAACGGAAATATTCAGACCCTTTACTCAGTACATTGTTGAAGCACCTTTGGCAGCGATTACAGCCTCGTCTTCTTGGGTATTACGCTACAAGCTTGGCACACCTGTATTTGGGGAGTTTCTCCCATTCTTCTCTGCAGATCCTCTCAAGCTCTGTCAGGTTGGATGGGGAGCGTCGCTGCCCAGCTATTTTCAGGTCTCCCCAGAGATGTTCGATCGGGTTCAAGTCCGGGCTCTGGCTGGGCCACTCAAGGACATTCAGAGACTTGTCCCGAAGCCGCTCCTGCGTTGTCCTGTTGGAAGGTGAACCTTTGCCCCAGAGGTCCTGAGCGCTCTGGAGCAGGTTTTCGTCAAGGATCTTTCTGTACTTTGCTCCATTAATCTTTCCCTCGATCCCGACTAGTCTCCCGGTTCCTGTCACTGAAAAACATCCCCACAGCATGATGCTGCCACCACCATGCTTCACCGTAGGGATGGTGCCAGGTTTCCTCCAGATGTGACACTTGGCATTCAGGCCAAAGAGTTCAACCTTGGTTTCATCAGACCAGAGAATCTTGTTTCTTATGGTCTGAGAGTCCTTAGGTGCCTTTTGGCAAACTCCAAGCGGGCTGTCATGTGCCTTTTACGGAGGAGTGGCTTCCGTCTGGCCACTCTACCATAAAGTCCTGATTGATGGAGTGCTGCAGAGATGGTTGTCCTTCTGGAAGGTTCTCCCATCTCCAAAGAGGAACTCTGGAGCTCTGTCAGTCTGACCATCGGGTTTTTGGTCACCTCCCTTACCAAGGCCCTTCTCCCCCAATTGCTCAGTTTGGCCGGCCAGCTCTAGGAAGAATCTTGGTGGTTATAAACGTCTTCCACTGTGTTCTTGGAGACCTTCAATGCTGCAGACATTTTTTGTTACCCTTCCCCAGATCTGTGCCTCGACACAATCCTGTCTCGGAGCTCTACGGACAATTCCTTCGACCTCATGGCTTGGTTTTTAATCTGACATGCACTGTCACCTGTGGGACCTTATATAGACGTGTGTGCCTTTCCAAATCATGTGGTAAATTCAATTGATTGGACATGTGGACTCCAATCAAGTTGTAGAAACATCTCAAGGATGATCAATGGAAACAGGATGCACATGAGGTCAAATTTGAGTCTCATAGCAAAGGTTCTGAATACTTATTTACATAAGGTATTTCTGTTTTTTATTTTTAATACATTTGATAAAATTTCTAAAAACCTATTTTGGCTTTATCATTATGGGGTATATTGTGTGTAGATTGATGAGATTTTTTATTTATTTAATCCAATTTAGAATAAGGCTGTAACGTAACAAAGTGGAAAAAGTGAAGGGGTCTGAATACTTTCTGAATGCACTGTAATTAAATATTGCGTAATTTGCATATTCTAATAAGATATTTCAGATTTCTTTTTTATACAAAAAAGTATTATATTTGTGTCTACATTCAACTGGTAAAAGTTGATTGTGATATGATTAAGGGAAAACAATTACCCTATGAGGGTGTGGTGTCTGGCCTTAAGCAACATGTCACTCAATGTCAATGAAAAACACTGATCATTTACATCTTTTGAGGAGACTGTGAAACTTGGATATCTACAGTAAATGGTTCATGGGGCAAAAGAGGCTTTAGGTAAGCTGGTGAAAATGAGAGGGGAGTAAATGTTAGCTTTGCTAACAGGCTTTAGAATCACATTGAGGCTTATCTCTCTCTCTCTCAACACTGAACACCAATTTGAAATCACACACTTTAAGGTCTGGGTGTGGCATGTTTACAGCTAATCAACTTGTGAAAAAACAACCCTCTCTCAACAATGCTCATCATTAGATAAAAGGTTCCTGGCAGAAATCTAATGAACAGGTTGATCTCACACCCTATAGTAATAGAAATGTGTCATCTCTCTTGTCTGTTCTCTAGATTAAGGGGAAGGAGGACAGGGTATAGAGTGGTAAATGGTCTTGTTTGTTCAAAACAGTGATCAAGAAAGTCCCACTCTATAAGTCTAATAACACTTAAAACATGCAATATTTTCTACTGTGAGCCATGATGTGGCACAGTAATAACATTATCTAGTAATAGCAGTAACTACTTAATTTACACTTAATTCACAATAAGAGTCAAGATCCAGATAGCTGGATTCAAGAGTCTGAATATTATGTAAGAGGAAGGTTTGAATCAGACGTAAGGCAGATTAATCTAGGCCAAGATGGAGTTAACAAGAGAGAAAGAGATCTGCCCATCTGCTACATTAAGAGGGGTTTAAAAGTTGGACCCTGGCCTAAGCAGTGTAAAGCTTTAGGAGGGGCTGTGATGATGTGGCTCCACTATCTTACAAAGGCCAAAGTCCTAAAGAGTTGGCGGAAACACAAGTGTAACAGAGGAGGGAGGGTGTTGTTGTATGGGAATAGATTCACATCCAGTTGGGAGAAAGGGACAGATGGCGACTGTGATAAAGGGGAGTTGTAGGTCCACTTGTAAAATGCCCTTTGTCTTTTATTACTGTAATTGTGAATAGGCTGACTAAGAATAAAGTACCTGCAGGATTTTTAGGTACTTAATTCATATTCAGCCTATTTACAATTACAGGAATATCACCCAGTTTGTTGTGTCCCTACCTACTCCTTACTGCCACCAGCTGACTAAGTGCAAGTGACACTAATTTCAACAGTAGGTGGCGGTCTTTGCTTAGGCTCCAGTTCCAACTACACTGCTTTAGATCAGTTCTCCCTTCTTGTCCTTACGAGCTTATACGTGTACCAATTTAGATCTGTTGTTCAAAACTCAATTTACCAACATGCAATGTCCTGTAACTGATGCAAATTGTTTTAGATGTGTAATTTATAATAGGCTAAATCCCTTATGCTGACAATTATTATCTGAATACAAGTATTTGATAAGGGCTTGGTCAAATGAAATCTTTGACTTGCAAGAAAATCCTACAGATAGGCCTACTTGCTTTCCCCAGGTTTTCCTATGAGACAAAAAGTTACATAAAATCTGGACAGGGAACTAATTACATTGCCAAAGTTCTGGGCAGTGAAAGACTTCGTGTGAGTGAACAATACACAATAATTATCAGGACACTAATATGGCCCTTCCAGCCATATTAAACCCGAAGGTTCCGTTTCCCTGGTTGCAGCTCAAATGGGTAAAAGGTCAACATCTTTAAGCCTTCACAAGGGAAAGTAGCAAGGCAGCAAAGTAACCTCTCAAATGTTAGGAATAAGATAATATGCAATTTGGGATGGTTGTCAACCTGTTTATGTTTTCTAATGAATTGTCATGTGGTTCATGATCATTTATGGATGGATTATGGTCTCTGGATGTTCCATGTCACATTCCACACTCTACAGTAACTCTACCTCTCCTCTCCCACTCTCATCAGTGTCTGAAACTAGAGAAAACTTCACTTCTCCTCTTCCCTGTTTAGTACAACCTCTCATTGGAGACTTAATCCAAGTTGAGGAAATACAGATGGCCTTATACATTCACTTCCACATAGTTTTCCCTCCACATCCTGGGGATTTGGCACAGTGGAGAAAATGGTGTGCATCACTTGTGGGTCTAAGTCTAATGTCACATTCAACACTCGCTACAGTAACTCTACCTCTCCTCTCCCACTCTTTCTCTCTTGTTAACTCCATCTTGGCCAAGATGAATCTGCCTTACGTCTGATTCAAACCTTCCTCTTACATAATATTCAGACTCTTGATTCAGATCTGGACACACCACACACTCATCCTTCCAGACAGGAGATGAGGTCTGGGTGTTGGAGGAGAGCCAGGGAGGCTCAGCTCAGAGCAATCTGGTCTCAGAGCATTTCATATGATTCTGTACGTAAATCCGAGACACTCCATTTAGTATGATATGTTACGTTTCATGTGGTATGAATTAATTTGTGAATGTCCATCACCCATTTCGTATTATATGTTACGAATTTGCAAAAAGTACAATATATTACGAATTTGCAAAACGTACAATACGTTACGAATTTGCTAAATGTATATGTTACGAATTCTAGCAAGGTGGCTAACGTTAGCTAGCTGGCTAACATTAGCTAGGCTAGGTGTTAGCATTAAGGTTAGGGGAATAGTTAGGGGAAGGGTTAGCTAAAAGGGTTAAGGGAAGGGTTAGGGGAAGGGTTAGCTAACATGGTAAGTAGTCGCAAAGTAGCTAAAAAGTAGTAAGTAGTTGAAAAGTTGTTGATTAGCTCAAATGCTAAAGTTGTCCATCATGAGATTCAAACTCGCAACCTTTGGGTTGTTATACATTCACGTTATACGCCCAACCATCCACCCTGACCTTGCCTTAAGTAATCATCTGTCTTATGTAACCATACCAAACGTAACATATACTAATTTCAGTGTCACGATTTACATTTACTATGTCATGTCTAGCCTATGAGACCAGGCTGCTCAGAGAGGAAGTGACCGAGCAGGAAGCACTAGTCAATGAACACATCTGTTCTCTTCACTTACTGTGTAAACCTTACTACACTGTAATGCAGCTACAGTACACATCACAATAATTGCTGAGGGAACCCAAAACCAAATATCCTGTGCGCGCTGGCCAGCTACTACATTTTTAACATCTATTAGTTTATCACATGAGACTATGATACGACCAAACACAAAAACAGTCTTTATTTCATTTCACAATAGTCTGATGCTACTGTTGGACTGGTGTCCTCTACAGTTCTCCAGACATCCTCTCTCCTCTTCTCCTTCGCTAGTTCTCCTCCCTACTCTCGTTAGGACGTGATTTTGTGTGGGTTTCTGAGAGCAGGGCCATCTGCAGATCCAGCGGTGGAGTGTGTTTTTGTATGTGTGTGTGTTTGTAGGGGGGTGGGGGGAAGGGAGGTTGATGTGTGCCGAGATTTTTAGCATGTGGTGTGTGTATGCTTTATAATTATGGAGTCTCGGAATGTAGCCTACAGAGCTGGTTTCTGGAATAGGTCCTGGATCTGTGGACAATGTGTTTCTTAGAGTACTTCCCTTGGGACGGCATGTGCTTTCCACAAACAGATGAAGAACACACTATTAAAATACAATTAAATCTAAAGGACACACACAGGTCCGCCTTACAATGACGGACAGTGTTTTAAGGACATAGTCTAGTTCGTACCTGACAGCCTTGTAGATGGCAGTGGGATTGCTATGGCCACTCACTCCTCTTCCATTGAAGGTCAGCACCTGAAACAACAAAAATATTAATTTGAAGATACTTTATGCCATAACATAAGATAGTTATCAAATATCAATGTGAAATGTACGCTATATGCTAAATAAATACATTGAACAAAAATATTAAACCCAACATGCAACAATTTCAAAGACATTACTGAGTTAAATTCATTAAGCCCTAATCTATGGATTTCACTTGACTGATAATACAGATATGCATCTGTTCGTCACAGATACCTTAAAAAAAAAGTATGGGGCGTGGATCAGAAAACCAGTTAGCATCTGTTGTGACCACCATTTGCCTCATGCAGCGCCACACATCTCCTTTGCATAGAGTTGATCAAGCTGTTGATTGTAGCCTGCGGAATGTTGTCCCACTCCTCTTCAATGGCTGTGCGAAGTTGCTGGATATTGGCGGGAACTGGAACACTCTGTCGTACACATCGATCCAGAGCATCGCAAACATGCTCAATGGGTGACATGTCTGGTAAGTATGCAGGCCATGGAAGAACTGGGACATTTTCAGCTTCCAGGAATTGTGTACAGATCCTTGCGACATGGGGCCTTGAATTATCATGCTGAAACATGAGTGGATGAATGGTAGGACAATGGGCCTCAGGATCTAGTCACAGTATCTCTGTGCATTCAAATTGCCATTGATAAAATGCAATTGCGTTCGATGTCCGTAGCTTATGCCTGCCCATACCATAACCCCACCGCCACCATGGGGCACTCTGTTCACAACAATGACATCAGCAAACCGCTCGCCCACACGATGCTGCTCTGCCATATTCCCGGTACAGTTGAAACCTGGATTCATCTGTGAAGAGCACACTTCAAATCAAATTGTATTTGTCACATGGGCCGAATACAACAGGTGTAGACCTTACAGTGAAATGCTTACTTACAAGCCCTTAACCAACAATGCAGTTTTAAGAAAAATAAGTGATAAGTCAAAAATATAAATAATTAAAGAGCAGCAGTAAAATAACAGTAGCGAGGCTATATAAAGGGGGTACCGGCACAGGTTAGTAGAGGTAATTTAGGTAATATGTACATGTAGGTAGAGTTAAAGTGACTATGCATAGATAATAAACAGAGAGTACCAGAAGCGTAAAAGAGGGGGTGGGGAATTAATGCAAATAGTCCGGGTAGGCATTTGATTAGCTGTTCAGGAGTCTTATGGCTTAGGGTTAGAAGCTGTTAAGAAGCCTTTTGGACCGAGACTTGGCGCTCCGGTATCGCTTGCCGTGCGGTAGCAGAGAGAACAGTCTATGACTAGGGTGGCTGGAGTCTTTGACAATTTTTAGGGCCTTCCTCTGACACCGCCTGGTATAAAAGTCCTGGATGGCAGGTAGCTTGGCCCCAGTGATGTACTGGGACGTACGCACTACCCTCTGTAGTGCTTTGTGGTCAGAGGCCGAGCAGTTGCCATACCAGGCAGTGATGCAACCAGTCAGGATGCTCTCGATGGTGCAGCTGCAGAACCTTTTGAGGATCTGAGGACCCATGCCAAATCTTTTCAGTCTCCTGAGGGGGAATAGGCTTTGTCGTGCCCTCTTCACGACTGTCTTGGTGTGTTTGGAACATGATAGTTTGTTGGTGATGTGGACACCAAGGAACTTGAAGCTCTCAACCTGCTCCACTACAGCCCCGTCGATGAGAATGGGGGCGTGCTCGGTCCTCTTCTTTTTCCTGTAGTCCTCAATCATCTCCTTTGTCTTGATCACGTTGAGGGAGAGGTTGTTACCTGGCACCACACGGCAAGGTCTCTGACCTCCTCCCTATAGGCTGTCTCATCGTTGTCGGTGATCAGGCCTACCACTGTTGTGTCATCGGCAAACTTAATGATGGTGTTGGAGTCGTGCTTGGCCATGCAGTCATGGGTGAATAGGGAGTACAGGAAGGGACTGAGCACGCCAGTGGCCATCGAAGGTGAGCATTTGCCCACTGAAGTCGGTTACGGCGCTAAACTGCAGTCAGGTCAAGACCCTGGTGAGAACGACGAGCACGCAGATGAGCTTCCCTGAGACGGTTTCTGACAGTTTGTGCAGAGATTCTTCGGTTCTGCAAACCCACAGTTTCATCAGCTGTCCGGGTGGCTGGTCTCAGACGATCCCGCAGGTGAAGAAGCCAGATGTGGAGGTCCTGGGCTGGTGTGGTTACACGTGGTCTGCGGTTGTGAGGCCGTTTGGACGTACTGCCAAATTCTCTAAAACAACGTTGGAGGGGCTTATGGTAGAGAAATGAACATTAAATTCTCTGGCAACAGCTCTGGTGGACATTCCTGCAGTCAGCATGCCAATTGCACACTCCCTCAAAACTTGAGACATCTGTGGCATTGTGTTGTGTGACAAAACTGCACATTTTAGAGTGGCCTTTTATTGTCCCCAGCACAAGGTGCACCTGTGTAATGGTCATGCTGTTGAATCAGATTCTTGATATGCCACAACTGTCAAGTGGATGGATTATATTGGCAAAGGAGAAATGCTCACTAACGGGATGTAAACAAATTTGTGCACAAAGTTTGAGAGAAATAAAGCTTTTTGTGCATATGGAAAATGTCTGGTATCTTTTTATTTCAGCTCATTAAACATGGAACCAACACTTTACATGTTGCGTTTATATTTTTCTTCAGTGTAGATACATTTTATGTCTGGTTAATGGAAGCTTGCCTTGAATATCTGTGTCTCTGCCTGCATCCCGAATGGCACCATATTCCCTATCTAGTGCAGTTCTTTGACCTGGGCCCTGGTCAAAAGTAGTGCACCAGAATAGGGTGACATTTGGGATGCACAGTCTTGGCAGGAGACAACTGATATTTAAGAGCCTATTTCTGCTTGCATATGTGTTCACAAGAGAACTAAGGGAAGATGGGAAAAAGAGGAGAAAGCAGGTCAAAGGGAAAGTAAAATAACTTGACTAAAGACGCATCAGTTTGAGAGTGATATAGGCAGAGGCTAAACGATGACCATGATTATGCCCCTGAAACCAAACATAAAGTAGGACACCACCCACCTTCTAATTTAACCCATGAACTGTGTGCTCAGAGCAGAGAGAATCCCTTGCCATGTACTGGCCTGAGGGAGATATTTTACATCTGTCAGAGTTTAAGTAGTGATGGGGGGGAAAAATGGATACAGTTACATAGAGATATTATTTTTGACAATATATCGTATTGTATAATTTTTGACAAAATCGCAATATAATTTTTGCGCTAGTTTGCTGTAGCTGCACCAAAACTCCTGTTTTTTTCCTTCATAGCTTGTTCTCCATCTTCTTTTAAAATAGGGAGCCAATTCGTTTTCAGCACTTTTATTTCCATGACTGATCAATACTCGTTTTCTCCTGGCTCTCTCTTGACCCTCTGTAGAAGACATATGGTGAGCAATATGTTTGGAACATCGAATCGCAATAAAATCACAGTATAGAATCACAATACATATAGAATCGGCACCTAAGTGTCGTGATAATATCGTATCGTGAGGTCCCTGGCAATTCCCAACCCTACTTGGATGAGACAAAAATATATAATTACACATAAAAACACCAGTTTCTATAAATATTAGGTGTTGCCAAAGCAAACAGATAATAACAATGGCTTCCAAGCGGGGAGAGAAGTGGATATCTGCTTTAACTCTTTCTTTGCTTATTCTAGGCTTAGACTTAACATGCTAAAAACTCTAACAGCAGTAAACCAATAGGAATAGGTTATATTATGGGAAATATTATATTTAACTTTTATGATTTAGTAAATCTTTGTGCATAATCCTTAACAGGATGGGGGAAGACATAACCATCCATTGTTGTCTTTGATTTAAAAAAACACATCAGTAGGATAGCCTACACTGAGCTGTTTGGTTCTTAAGTGAAACTGCTAGCATCCTGCTGTGCCCTCTCATGCTTATTTATTTATCTGAGAAAGACTGCATTCAGCTTTTGTCAGAATACTAATGGTTAAGGGCAGACATAAAAAAAACAAATAGTTAAGATCTCAATTCCCAAATTCCTTTTGGTAAATGTCCTGGAACGTCTTTGTGCGGTTGATAGAAATCTGGGAGTAAACATGCCAACAGTGACCCGAACTCCAACTAGCACCACAACCACATTCTGCTGCTGCAGACAGCAGCCATGTTGTTCCTGAGAGATGTTTACATGTCGCCTAGTCCCAGATCTGTTTGCGCCGTCTTGCCAACTCCTATGCTCATTGCCATTATGTTGCATGACAATGACTATAGGAGTTGGCAAGACAGACAGCACAAACCAATCTGGGATCAGGCTAGTTTACATGTAATGTGGGGTTAATACAGAGAAAGAAAGACATGGCCCTCTTTCATTTCATTATTAGTGGAGCTTGGGAAGCCTGTGAGAGACATATGCAGATACAAAACACTATTGACAATGATCATGAGACTGTGGTGCCAAAACTGATATACACACAACAGTCTATACAAATGATCCAGCATTTTTCAGGATTAGAAATAATAGTGAGATTTGTCGATGAGTTGATCATCATACCAGGTTGATGGAGTGTGCTCTGATGTGCTTCAGGATTAGAGAGGAGGCCATTGAGATGCTCCATTCTACGTTGGGGTCGTCTGGCAGTTATCTGAAAGATGAAGAGGGGAAAACGTTAGAGTTACACTGGGGCTCTGGTTGAAAGTACGAACAAATATGAAAATGTATGCACTCACAACTGTAAGTCGCTCTGGATAAGAGCGTCTGCTAAATGACTAAAATGTCAATGTAAAATGAAAGTAGTGCACTATATATGGAATAGGGTGCCATTTGGGACATACACAGTATTAACAGAGGCCTATGCAGGCCCTTCTCTGCCTGGCTAGAATATTGCAGCACACCAACCAACCAAAACAGTAGCCTGACTTCAATTCAACAAAATGGTTGCCCAGTTTTAGAATTAAAAGTTAGTTTTTGCCACTGATCCACACCTTTTGGATTTAGGAAATGTAGCCAACTTCTTACTATGCAGAAGATTCACACACTGAGCACACTGGAAAATGTGTTATTTCTTTTAGAATGTATGCCAGCCAGGGTTTACTGTGGCTGGGAGGTTAGGGGTCAGTGGGGCCTTAGCATAGCCTGGCTTACGTGACCCACGTGACTCACAGCGCAGGGAGAGCTGTGGCCACACTGGTCTGAAAAAGGAGGCTGTTTGTTAATGCAATATTTGCTCAGAAATTGTGCAACGGTTTTGATTGGTTCTCTCAAATGCAATTATTTTCTCAGGGGTTGAGACCTCTCGTTGTTTGGATTTCAAAATACAACTATTGTAATTGAAGGGGGTGGCGCTTGGGGGCTGTGTGTGGCTGGGTGTTTGAGTGATAAAGACACAGAGGAGAACCAAACAGTAAAAGCACAGCCCCCTTTATTGTCGACGCATTGTGCCGACAACATCAAAGAGCCATTCCAGACTCTGAAGTCAGGAGGACTGAGAGTTTTAGGTGTTAGCCAGACTAGCCTTAGCATCCTATTCAACTGAAACTACAGCCCAGCGAGAACAAAGACCATAACAGTTACATCGCACACACCACTGGGTTCAAATAGTATTAACCCTTTTCAAATACTTTAGCTGTGCTTGATTGAGCCACAGAGTTTCTAAACCCAGAGGTGTAACATCGTGAGACTTCCGGGAACGCTTGCAAAACAGACCAAGCAGACCAGGCCAGGGTTTGAGAAGTCATTGAAAGAAGTGAAAAATTCTTCCTTAGTTGTTAATTTTCTCAAAATCTGAAGGCACAACCTAGATTTGAGCCATTGTCTTAAGTAGTTGAACATATTACTCCAACCACGTGAAAGTGACAAACTGACACGTTTTCATTTTCGGCGTCATTGCCCATAGGAGGCACAGGGGCACGTGCCCCCTCAGGACAAATCTGGGGGGCACATGCTCTACCAATTGAGCTACAGAGGACCACATTACATGTTTTGTTGTTGTTTCTCTGTAATACTACTAGCCAGCTAGCAATTTTATGAAGTTGGCTTTAGCTAGCCCAGATAGGTTCCCAATCTCCCAACCTCATAACTAGCTACCTCTGTAGCTCAATTGGTAGAGCATGGCACTTGTAACGCCAGGGTAGTGGGTTCGATCCCCGGGACCACCCATACGTAAAAATGTATGCACACATGACTGTAAGTCGCTTTGGATAAAAGCTTCTGCTAAATGGCATATTATATTATATTATTATAAGCCATTTCAGGCTATCAATAAAGTTAGCGCTAGCTTGTCTAACTATCTTAGCTGGCATACCTGCTGGCAAGATTGGTAGACTATAGAGATCAAATCAAATCAAATGTTATTTGCCACATGCGCCGAATACAACAGGTGTAGACATTACAGTGAAATGCTTATTTACAAGCCCTTAACCAACAATGCCATTTTTAAAATCTCTCTAAAATCTTCAGTCATCCAAAAGTTATACTTAAATCCGAACTGGTTCTCAAGCAAATTAGTAAGATTGTCTCACCCACTGTTCAAGAAAGGCCTTTTTCCCTTTATTCAGATTACAACCTCTCACTTTCAGTTATTTGAAAAGGAAATAATCTCCCAAATGTCACTATTTCTAAAACAAGCCATAGAAAGTTGGTTGCAATTTCAATTTAATCCTCCAGAAACGACAGAACAAATAATGCAACAAATATTGTGGTTAAATTCAAATATACTAATTGACAAAAAACCTTTATTTTTTGACAGAATGTTTAAAAAAGGTATAATCTTCGTAAATGATATCATCGGTAGGACTGGTGGAGTTATGTCGCACATGCAGCTAACAAAAACATATGGAAATGTCTGCTCTACCCAAAATTACAACCAAATAATTGCAGCCTTACCGCAAAAGTGGAAGAGGAAAGTTGAAGGGGGAGAAAGTAAGGAACTTGTCTGTCGGCCTTGCATTAAAGAACATAATTGGTTAAGGAAAACTGTGATAAATAAAAAAGTATATCAGTTTCACTTAAGGACCAAAGGATTGACAGCCGTCCCATATAGATTGCAAAATAGTTGGGAAGAGATCTTTGACGTACCGATCCCATGGCATAGTGTTTATGAACTGACACGCAAAACGACACCGGATTCAAAAATTAGAATCTTTCAATTTAAATTATTATATAAAATTCTTGCTACCAATATAATGTTATTTATATGGGGGATACAATCTTCCCAGCTCTGCAGATTTTGCTGTGAAGAGACAGAATCATTAGATCATTTGTTTTGGTTCTGTCCATTTGTAGCTTGTTTTTGGACACAGGTCCAGGAATGACTAAAGGATTGCAATATTTACCTGGAACTAACCTTGCAGATAGCATTACTGGGTGATCTGAAAAGTCATAGTCAATCAATCAATAATATAATAATACTTTTAGCAAAAATGTTTATTTTTAATTCACAATCTGTAGAAGCAATGAGAATAGAAAGGTTCAGAACTTTTGTAAAACATCACAGTACGGTTGAAATATATATGGCAAATAGAAATCCTATATGGATGGTGTTAAGAGATAGGTGGGAGGTATTGAATAGAGTTGAAGGATGGGACTAATAACAAATAACAACAAATAATAACAAAGATAGCTAATAATGTAAGCATACTGTGTCCATAATAAATATATAGGTTGTATGTAGGGAGCTTTTGGGAAAGAGCACAGTTAGAAAGATATGGCATTTAGAAGCAAACCGGATGGACATCATGAAAATGATCGGAGAGGTTGAGAGTAGAAGAAGTTCAGGAGCAAAAAAAAAAAAAAAAAATATATATATATATATATATATATAGAATTATTGTAAAATTAACTCTGTCCATAAGGTGTAGATAGTAAGTATAGACCGGAAGTAGAGGCCTGGGCGTTGTTGTTCACTAATTTACTCCAAGTAGGGAAAGGATGGTGGGGTTGAAAAGTAATAAAGGGGAATATATATATAAAAAATAAAAATAAACATGGGGGATTGGAAGTGATGCAGACAATTACATTGATAGAAGATACAATCTATCTGCAATATTAAGCTGATCCATTCCCCCCGGAAAAAAAAAAAAAAAAAAAAAAAAAAATGCCATTTTTAAAAATGTTTTTTCTTTTTTCTTTTTAAGTGGTAAGTAAAATAGAAAAAAAACTAACAACTAAAGAGCAGCAGTAAAATAAAATAACAGTAGGGAGGCTATATACAGGGGGGTACCGGGGCAGAGTCAATGTGCGGGGGCACCGGCTAGTCGAGGTAATTGTGGTAATATGTACATGTGGGTAGAGTTAAAGTGACTATGCATAAATAATAGACAGAGTAGCAGCAGCGTAAAAGAGGGGGGTGGGGGTGGGGTGGCAGTGCAAATAGTCCGGGTAGCAATGATTAGCTGTTCAGGAATCTTATGGCTTGGGGGTAGAAGCTGTTGAGAAGCCTTTTGGACCTAGACTTGGCGCTCCGGTACCGCTTGCCGTGCGGTAGCAGAGAGAACAGTCTATGACTAGGGTGGCTGGAGTCTTTGACAATTTTGAGGGCCTTCCTCTGACACCGCCTGATATAGAGGTCCTGGATGGCAGGAAGCTTGGCCCCAGTGATGTACTGGGCCGTACGCACTACCCTCTGTAGTGCCTTACGGTCGGAGGCCGAGCAGTTGCCAAACCAGACGGTGATGCAACCAGTCAGGATGCTCTCGATGGTGCAGCTGTATAACTTTTTGAGGATCTGAGGACCCATGCCAAATCTTTTCAGTCTCCTGAGGGGGAATAGGCTTTGTCGTGCCCTCTTCACGACTGTCTTGGTGTGTTTGGACCATGATAGTTCGTTGGTGATGTGGACACCAAGGAACTTGAAGCTCTCAACCTGTTCCACTACAGCCCTGTCGATAAGAATGGGGGCGTGCTCAGTCCTCTTTTTTTTCCTGTAGTCCACAATCATCTCCTTTGTCTTGATCACGTTGAGGGAGAGCAAGCAATTACTAAATGTACTGAATAAGACTCACATTCCTTTAAATTTTTGCAGGGAAGCATATTTTGTAAAAAAAAACTTTTAAAAAACAAATGTTTTCTTACATAGAATTAAGCATAATGGTTATGGCTCCAGATTGCAGGAAAAAGCTGTTTCAGGTGTTAGAAAAATTCTAAATTCTCCAATTTACGGATGGGAGGCCTAACCCCTATTCCTGACCACCCCCCATCCTTCCTTACGTATTTTGTGCCCCTTCAGATTTTTGGGGTGCATGACGCCCCTGCCTGGCACAATGGAACCAATGGAATAGCCCCAGAAAGTGTAAAACCCACCCATCTGGTACTCAAGGCAGACTCAATCAAGCAGACATAGTATTTGAACGATTTCAAATACTATTTGGACCCAAGTCTGCATCTCACACCTTCCTGAGCTACCCAAGTCTGTTCATCAGACAACCTGATCACTCAACACACCATCTATCTATGGGGGTCACTCATTGGCTAAATGCTGATCACTCTCACAGCCCCCCCCCCCCCCCCCCCCCTCTTTCTCTCTTGCACACTCTTTCCCTCGCTCTCAGTCCCTTTCATTCTCTCTCTTGCTCTCACATCGTCTTTCATTCCTCTCTCCCGCCTCT